GGAGGTCGGCCTCTTCTCCCTGGTAACAGATGATAGGACGAGGGGGAATGGTTTGAAGCTGTGCCAGGGCAGGTTTAGGCTAGACATTAGGAAAAACTTCTTCACCGAAAGGGTTGTCAGGCTCTGGAATGGGCTGCCCAGGGAGGTGGTCGAGTCCTCATCCCTGGAAGTATTTAAAAGAAGGATAGATGAGGTACTTAGGGCCATGGTTTAGTGGTGGGGTGTCAGGGTTAGGTTAAAGGTTGGACTCGATGATCTTAAAGGTCTTTTCCAACCAAAGTGATTCTATAATTCTATGATTCTATGCTTTTCCTCTTTCGCTGCTTTAGTTTTCTGATGTGCAATAAGAAGCTATTCAAGTAGGAGTTTCGAGGAAAGTACAAAGCTGCTTTCATTGGCAGCTCTCTCATATGTAGGGCTCTGAGGGTCTCAAAAGCAGGAAAGAAATGCAGTGTGATTTATTTTTTCTAGGGCTGGTCTAAGGCATTGCCCAAAGGGACCCTCTGAGCAACCTCTTTCTCTCTTGGCCCTTGAAAAGCTTCATGCACATGAGGAAGCACAGTTCCATTCCCTGTCTTTCTGCAACTTTCCAGTACCAGATTTTCATCTTTATTTCTCCACTTGAGGCTGACACCAGATCTTTACCCTTCATCACTCATTAGTATGAAATGAGAATACCTTGGAGACCCCTCTGCACTTCCCTGATTCTCACAATGACCCGGGACAAAACTGGACACTTTGCATGATTCAGAGTGGACCAAGGGCTGCTACAGGTTGGGGCCTGTGGTCTTGGAAGAGGCCTTCTGAGCCCAATACCTTTGCCCATCTCTCCCACCCTCTTTTGGGTATGGGTCTACCCTTGCTTTTCAGTCATTTCTTCTCTAGACCCAGCTGGACGTTACATTGCGCCGTGGACAGGACCTCCTCCCAGTGCTCACCGGCTCCGCAGGCCCAGGCAGTGTTTGTGAACTGTGCTGGTATCCAACTGGGATGTGCAGCCTCACCTGGAAGCTCGGTGCCGCTCAGCATCTCCACTGAAACTCAGTATTGGCTCTTCCAAAAGTTTTTCATATTTTCCAGATTCCAGCTGCTCCCTGTACTCTGTCCTGGGAGTAAGGGCAGTCACAGTCTCCAGGCACAGGTGACTCATAGCATCTCTTATATTTACACCTGTACAATTACAGTTATTAACCAGCTACATCTGATTAGAGACCCACGGTCTGTGGTTACAAAGTCCCATTGGGTGCGGGTGTCAGAGCCTTGGCTTCCTTCCTGCTCAAGTAGAGAGGCAGAGTTATTCCAGCAATAACATCGACCATCAGGTTGCATTCCTTCAGAAAGGAAGCAGCAGTTCATGTTGCTCCCAAGGCAGTTTGTTTTGTGACCCTGGTTACAATAAACCTTTCTCTCCTTCCAGCCCAGCTAGGTCTTGCATGCAGCTCTTCGTTCTCCTCACCTGGGCCGGTAACCGTATCCGTAAAGTGACCATCACAGAGAGCAATGGGTGACGGCTTGGGACTCCAAGTGCTACTCTTAAGCCAGCTCACACTGTGTCTAAACTGTTTTTCCCTTAAAACAAACAAACAAACCCCCACAAACCTCAAAATGAGAGAAACAACCCTGGGGGAGAATCATTTTGTTGGAAAAGATCTTTAAGATCATTCACCCCAGCTGTACCTGTCCACCACTAAACCCTGGCCCTAAGCACCTCATCTGCCAGGCTTTTAAATACCCCCAGGGGTGGGGACTCGACCCCTTCCCTGAGCAGCCCCTTCCAGGGCTTGACAGCCCTTTCGGGGAAGGCATTTTTCCCAATGTCCAACCTAAATCTGCCCCGGCACAACTTGAGCTTGTTTCCTCTCATCCCATTGCTCGTTCCCTGGGAGCAGAGCCTGACCCCCCCCTGGTACCCCCTCCTGTCAGGCA